ACGATCTATTTTTTAAATCATATTTGTCATATATTTTTTAAAGAGAAATTAATAAAATCAAATAATTACGATTATCAAATCAGTAGTTTTATTCTTTTGGTTATGAATAATCTATAAAATTGGACTTATAAAATGAACAAATCATATCATCTTAATAAGATTTGTAATGGCCCACCGATCCAATCCATAAAGTAAAATAGAGAGAAACTACTCCTAGAATGAAATCCAAATTAAATTGAAGGAAAAGTCTACATACTATATGCATCCAATTACAAATTAGTATAATTTTATTATAAAATTTCGTAACATTAATCACAAAATGCATAATCTCACCACAAATTAACATAACAAAATATTTAAAATTTTGTAATTAATGTTATAAAAATATATCAATTTATGATAGGGTGCATATGTTAAATGGAATAGTTGAGATGATTAGTGCATTATTTTATTTTATTTTTTATCAGCATGATTAGTGCATTACCTGATCTTTCTCTTGGGGTATGATTGATAACAAGGTAAAAAGGAATTGGGTTATTTTGTTATCACCCAGATTAACCATGCAGGGTCATCAAGCTAAATGAAACTTTTGGTCATAATAATAATAATAATAATAATAATAAATATTGAAGAATGTATGAAGCATTGTACTGAAAATGAAGAGTCCAGTAAAAGGCAATTATGTCAAATCCATTTTCCTACAACAATATTACATACTAAAAAAATTATTTAAAAATACTCTAAAAAGTGTGGGGAAAAACTTATGGCATTGAAAAATATCTTTGCATCGTTAATTACACTCTACAAACACAAGTGAAGAAACTGGCTGGGGTGTTCAGCCGAGGAACTCTTTGATGCCTAAATTAGTATTGATAGAAGGATACTCAATAGAACAGTTAGCCTGAGTGATTGTGATTGTGTACTTGGTTTGCGGACTCCACTCAATTATTGTTGAATTTGCTTACAATTAAAGACTATTGAGGTCCTGTTTATTTTGGGAGATAGATGGGGGATTGAGATTGGGATAGAGGTGGGACTCACTAATGTTGTGTTTATTTTGGGAGATAGAGAGGGGATTCATAATCCCCTCCGGATTAGAATGCGCCTTGGGGAGAGGATTAGGATAGAGGCTTGGGACTTGGTATTAGAAAATAGTCCGACAGACTATTTTTTTTTTTTTTTTACATGTTCGGCATTTTTTTTTAAACATTAATGTTTATTGTTTTTGTATTTTTTTTATTATTTTATATTTATTTTATATAAAAATAATTTAACAATCCTTACATCAATAATTATCATCAAAATAAACATAATTTTATTTAATCCTTTCATTATCAATTTCCTCACTATTAATTCATTTACTATAAATTTTTTGTATTCTACCTCTAAAAATAAACGGACACGAGAGTTCTTAGAAACTATTCCCTACTACTCCACTTCCCTGGGGAACGTGGCCCATGCTCGCAATATCCCAAGAAATGATAAGCTTATCACTGAATCGTGGACGTGGACTTGCTCTTGACTTGGTCTATCCTCTACTCGGGTTAAGTTGTCCAAGCTTAGCCGTTAGTTTGGGGACTATGTTCGGCGACGTTATCATGTGTTCTACTCGATTGACGTGCTGGTAGCTCAGTCGTGCAACGTAGTTGCTCTGATATTACTTCCTATCAAAGTATATTTGTAAACGGAAAATATTCCAGAGCTCTAAATTAGGAGTTTTAATTTGTCTTTTTTTTCATGATGATTTATCTATTTTTTCTTTTTCGTTTTTAAATTCACCCCCGCCAACTGTGTAGAGTTCAATTTAGAGCTCTACACCTAGTGGTTTCTATCACAGCCCATTTGTGAACCACAATTATTCATGATGTAATCACATCATACTAAATTTAATTTATACTCGGGTTTCAGTGTACAGTTGGTATTTTTCATTTGGAGGGGTGATCATGTAATCACCCTTAAAAGATTGGAAGTGTAAACAAAATGCGTAATGTTTGGGATCATGAAAAAAATATCATGAAGATAATCATGAAATATTCTCTACCTTTGAATTACACATATAATAAAACACCACATACTAATTAAATGATGAAAAATCTTCAAGATACATTTCATGATATTTTTTTCATAATTTCTAATATTATTCAAACAAAATCATTAACCTTGTTATCAGAAACAAAATAATGAGACTAGTAAAACTTTGCTATCTTGCTGGGTCGTTGTGGGGGACAAAATAATCAATTTTTCCAAATACCAAGTTAATCATGAACTTAGGTAATTAGAAGGGAGCAGGCATCCACCATTTTCCCACGCCCCACAAAAAAAAAAAAAAAAAAAAAAAGAATAGAAACAGAATAAACATAATTAGGTGTGATTTAAAGCTAGGAATAAAGCCCATTCTTCTTTTCTACTGCAGCTGTACTATGATTTTGACAAGGCAACGCTAATGTGAACTGAGATGAGAGGAGAGGAAAGAAAAGGAAAGGAAAGGAAAGAAAAATGGCATCAAATAGAGTAGAATATTAATCGGGATTATTGATGTGCGAGTATTGACTAAGGTTGAATACCATGGCATTATTTGTTCAAACTTTATGATAAAGAATGTGATTAAACTAAGCATATTTGTGATATAGGTTTGTTTTGAGAAGTACAGTAGTTATTTTAGTTATTTTTTTTTAAAGACTTTTTTGACTATTTTATGGTGTTGACACTTTTTTAGATCCAGCGTGAAGAATTGCAACCAAAGAAAAAAAAAAATTGCCAAATCATGGCAAAAATTGAATTTTTATAGTTTTGGTAAGCATTATTGTGCATGATGATTTCCATGGAACTATGCTACCAAGCTAAAATTTGGTATGAAACCTTCTTTGCCTCATCACAAAAAGTCATGTGCATGCCACTATATGCTTTTTCTTATAAATCTCTCATGCTAATCAAGATAAGGTTACAATCATATCAGAATTGAGAATATCTTTCCAAAGTCATCAATATACCAATTTTATTAGGAAAGCTGTCCACATCACTTATCATAAGAAAATTAAGAATTTTGTAGTAAAAATTACAAATCTTTGTAGTGTATGTTGTGTTGCTTTGTGGTAAAAGTTATAAATAATAAATTTATGGTGTGAATTCTTAAAGTGAAAGTTACAAATTATTGTGATTGTGTTTTGAATGGTATAGTATAAATGTTACAAATTGTTTGTGATGAGAAATGGTACAAACTAGTTGTGGTGGAAAATGTTATGACATGCTGTTGTACTTGTTATAGAATGTTGTGATTATGTTATAAATTGGTGCACGATATATATAGTATGTCCCTTTTTTTAAGAGTGCATTCTGTATCAGCTCATTTTGTTAAGATTGTGTTTGAATTTTGAATTTGGATAAAGATTTGTGAAGGCTGCATTTGAATCTTAAATTTGGGTTGAGATTTATGAATGAAAATGTAAATGAAATAGAAATTTAATTTTATTTTTTTTTTCACTTTTCTCTTTCCTTTAGTTCTCACTCCAAAAATTTCTACTTAATTCCAATGTCCAACACAGCCTAAAGGATCTCTAGCACAGTAAATTTTTGTTAAGATTGCTTAAACTGTGATGATGTAATCAAATTTTGTAACTCCAACGTGATACTATTGGGTAGTGTGAATATTGACATGTAATGATATTTTTAGTATATTTATGTCTGTGGTATGTAATTCTAATTTTATATTTATGTAGTTGAAGGTACAGTTGTCTCCATATCTCCTTGGTAACTCTTTCAAATTATTGTGAAACTGCATGAATATGAACATAATTCTAGATTTGGGAAACTCTTCAAATCATATACTGAAAACACAACTATGGATGTAACTCTACTTTTGAAACAAACTACATAAATCTTGTATGTGCGTATTATTTACCCTTCTTATTTATTATTATTTTTTGTTTGCATATCTCACCGATTTTGATTAGATATTCTGAAATTCTTAACATATACCAACTCTGAAAGTGCATCTGCAGAGAGTGTAAACTTAATTTCCCTTGTCAAACAAATACATGGCCTCTATGGGAAATCTAGCATTTTGAGAATGTCCCCCCCCACCAAAAAAAATGTGATGTTAAAGTGATCATGTGAGTCAAAAGTGGCACTTCTGAAGGAATATAAAGGACCAAAGCTTGTATGAAATGTGGAGCTGCTGTCTATTTATCTGGATAAGTGGCAGTAAGAACACAGAGAATGTCCACTAGGAAAGTGCACATCAGGATCTCCAAATTCCCAAACCTTGTTCATACTGATCCACACTTGCTTTTTCTTTGATAAAGTTAACTAAATCCAGTCTCTTTCACCTCTACCATGTTGGCATCGTATATGTGGGAGATCCGAATCCGTCTCATATTGGTCCGCACGGAACTCTTGACCTACCTTATAAAATGTGCCATACTCAAATATTTCCAAAAGGTCTTTTCTAGTTAAGGAAGAACAATACTGTTTGTATGTCCCCATGGTACAAAGCGGACAATATCTTGGTGTGTGCTATGACAGTAGAGTGGTCTGCACAAATGGTGTGTCTATGGGAAAACTAGCTCCACCACATGGACCCACACGCTTGGGGGCTATTGTGGAGGGCCCAATTCATTCCCACATCGGTCCGTTAGGAACTCTTGATTTATCTTATAAGTGTACTATTACAAACCTTCAAGAGGTCTTTTCTAGTGAAAGGAACAAAATCGTGCGTATTCTCGTAGTAAAAAGCAGACAATATCTTGATGCGTGCTACAATAATGAAGTGATCCGCACAATATATATCAATACTTCTCTCCCTCACAATGAGGCTCCCTTGATTCAAACCCACAGTTACTTGGCTATGCATAGCTCTTGTCAAGTCGAGCTTCTCTATCTTGCCTAAAATCAATTGGTATTAACAAGAGCTTCACTTGATATAAGCATGTTTTTAAAACATTCATAAAGAGAGGCATTATGTACACCAAACCGACAAAACAAAATATGTGAGACCCACAAAGTGTAAAGGAGTATTGAACCTTCTAATTCCTTCATCTTTAACACCTCAAAAGTTTGGCTTGTTTTTCCTTCTATTTGAGATCATGAACAAAGTGCATAATCTGGGTCACACCTCTATGGATCTTAGCCACTCCAACGTACTATATACTTATATATATATAGTGATTTATAACAAGAAGTGAGAGAAGAAAAGGCTGGCATTAGCAGATGGAAGTAGATGCTACATTTTACAATGTTGCCTAATTTGACACAACAGAGCAAAGCTCAATAGACCCACAATCAAGCAATTCCTCTATCATCTGCTCTATATGATCATCTTCAAGAGCCTTGAATTGTTGGGCACTACTCTCCACTTGATCACCTTCATTAACTACCCATTTTCCCGACAACCCGGTACCCATTTCCCCCTCCTTTTTCACAATGCCACCATCTCTGGCAACACACGGTGATCGCACATCACGAGGCTCCTTAGGTATCATTTTTTTGGCCATTTGTAGTGATGTCATGTGGCATTTTTGTAATTTAGCTGTCAAAGTAGCCGAAAGAAGCTTTGTCGATGATGACCGAGACTCTTCTGCATTGTAAGGGAAATTAGTACGCGTTTTCGTGCCACACATGAGCCTGGCAGCTTCATCGTACGCTCTCGCCGCGGCCTCCGCTGTCTCAAATGTTCCTAGCCATATTCTAGTCTTCCTGTTGCCATAAACAAGTTTAGAATACCAAAAAAGTAAAAAACATCATAAGTTCAGAAAATATATTATTGGAAAAAAAAAAAAAGGATTTACAGGATGGGGTGGCGAATTTCGGAGACCCAAGAGCCCCAGTGCCTCTGGCGGACACCGCGGTATCGCTGTTGTGGTCTGGCCATGGCGGCAGCGCGGGGTGGAGCGGTCTTGGAGGAGTACTGATGAAGGTGTTTGTGATATGTCTCAGAGAGGTTGATGGTGGTGGAAGCACAAGAAGAGGAGGTTGAGAGAGTGGTGAGAGTAAAGAGTTGTGTTGGGGGGTTTTTGTAAGTGTTCTTTTCTGCCTTCAAGCCATTTTGAAATGGGCCCACAAGAACCAAGGCTTTTTTTAGTTTTTCTCTTTTTTCTTCCAGAGGAATAGTAGGTTTAAAAAAGCAAACTGAAACAGATCCCAAAAAAAATTACTTTAGTATTGGGTATTTATATAGGAAAAAATATTTACAAATATAATTTTAATATGACATTTTTTGACATTTAAAAAAAAATTCTAAAGTCACTATGATGATTATTTTGTCTTAAAATTTTTTTTAAAAAAAATTTAAAATTCACAGAAATAAGTCACATTATTTTAGATAAAATATTGTATAAAAATTTTATTTATGTAACATTACCTTGTATATTTTAATGAATTCACGATCTCAAATTTCTTATCAAATGAATAATTCCTTATTTTTCTAATCAATAATTTGATGATGATGATATTGTTTTGTTTATTATGTATCATCACTATATATATGGGCAATGCTAGAGACCTCTAATTTAGAGGCTCTAAGCACACCTCTAATGAGATGGAAAAGGTAAAAAAAAAAAAAAAAAAAAAAATTTCAAAACACAGCACTGATGTGGCAGTGGGTGGGACCCACTGCCACATCACTAGTGGTACCTCTAATTAGAGGTCCCAAGCATTTTTCTATATATATAGAGTAGTGAAATACATTAAATTTGTGGCTTCACGTAAAATAATAAATAAAATATGATCATCATGATAAATGAGTTAAATTTGTTTCAAATTTAAATATGAGCATCACGATGATATTGAGCTCGTGGGACCATTTTCTTTTGTAAAGCATCTATGTATATCATTTACAAAAAAAAAAAAAAAAAATAGATTAATTTGATACTCGTAACATTTTTATTTCATCACATTAGTCTCCCAAAAAAAAGAAAAAAAGAAAAAAAAAGATGATGATGTGTTTTTTAGAATAGACCATATATATTTTTTAGACAAATGCTTAAATTAAAAAGATTATAATAATCAAATCGACCTAATTTTTTCATAAATGATATACATAGCGGGTCTTACAAAATGAACGATTTGAATTATCAAAATGAAATTGATAATAACGGTACGAGGCTAAACATAACAATAATATCAAGTTGTTTTGGGAAGTGACTTTTGGACTTATTATGAAAAATGTGTAAAAAATATAAAGGTGATGTGATCTAAATAAGCCAATAAACTAATAAGAGCTTCTATTTGCATCTCAAAAATTATATTGGACACCCCTATTTAATTATATTTTTTTTATTACTATTAAGTCCCTATTTAAAATGACCAAAAAAGACTTGGCATTAGAAAAAATGTAAATGAAAGTGTTTTGGACACCCCATTAATCATCAGCCTCAATATTCCTTTTCTCTCTTCTTTTCTTACTTTCATCACCTTGCATCTTCATACACAAACCTAACCCAACCCTATTTGTTTTAATTCATCATACTTGTATTCTATTTCATATTGAAATCAACAATGGATATGTTTTCAAATAATTTTCTATAGAGAAAGTAGTTTTTAATTGTTATTCATCATTTTTCATAGTTTGATTTTTTGAATTTATTCAGAACTGAGTATCCGAACAAACTCTATAGGTTTGGAATTAAGTATCCGGACAAATATATTTTGTTCAACATTGAGTATCTACATGAAATAACTAGAACCAATTTTTAAGTGTTCGGCACTAAGTATCCGAACAAATTTCATATGTTTGGAATTAAGTATCTAGACAAATATATTTTGTTCGACACTGAGTATCCGAATAAACTTCATATGTTTAGAATCAAGTATCCGGACAAATATATTTTATTCGGCACTGAGTATCCATATGAAACAATTAGAATTGATTTTCTTGTGTTTGACATTGAATATACAAAAATCGGTAGCCATCAGTGGATGTAGAGTAGGAAGAGATCTTCGGCTGATGTAGAGTGGGAGGAGACCTTCGTCGCTTCGAATCCCTCTTTGTTGGATGAACCCTTTTCGTCGCTTGAAATTCTCTTCTGATTTTGTTCCTCTATTTATGGGTAATGAGATATACAAAGTAAATTAGTATAGGATTTTAGGGATTTTAGGGTTAAGATAAATATTATTTAGAGTATCCAAACAAATAAATAAAAATTTAAATTTATTATTAGAGTGGTTAAAATAATAAAGTGTCCAACCTTATTTTTAAAATGCCTTTAGAACCTCCCTAAACTAATAAATTGGTTTATAAATTTGTTTCCAAAATGGCCCTCAAATTTAAACTTCAAACAAGTCTATCCTAATTAGGGCTGCAAATAAACCGAACTGTTCATAAAAAAGCTTGGCTCGGCTCGGTTCGTTTAATAAACAAGCCGAGCTCGAACTCGAATATTAAGTTCGTTTAGTAAACGATCCGAGTTCGAACTCGCATAAACTCAGCTCGACAAGCTCGACTCGTTTATCTTTATTTAAATTATATAATAAATATATTATTTATATATTAAATAATTTAAATAATATTCAAAAAAAATTATCGAGCCGAGCCGAACTGAACTCGAGTTTCATTAATGTTAACGAGTTGAGCTAAGCCGAACTCGAATCCAGTTTCTTATCGACCCAAGTTTAAGTTTAATGAACGAGCTCGATAAGTAAATGAATCGAACTCAAACTTAGCAAAATTTAACTCGGCTTAATTCATTTGCAATCCTAATCCTAATCCTAATCCTAATCCTAATCAATTATGCTCAAATACTAATTTTTATTGTAGAGTGGGGAGAGCTGACAGTAGTTAGTGGACATGAATATATGGCCCACAAAAAAAAAGGACATGAATATATGGCCCACACATCATATGTATATTTTAGTAACACTTTCATGGGCTGGTAGGTTTCATAGCTGCTATTTTTGACCGTCAATCCTTTTGTCCTAATAAACGCAACAACAATGATAGAGACCATTAATTTTGGAGCTCTAAAAGATCATTAATGACATGACACTCAATAAAAAAAGAAAAAAAATACAACATCAACACTAAAACATCAAATCATTCCTGGTGGGATCCACTATCACATCATTAGTGATAGCATTAATTAGTACTCTCACTCATTTTTCTAAACGCAATCCAAGAATGCAAATTATTATGAGAAAGATTCAAAATAGGCATCAAGGACAAAAAAATTTGGATGCAGCGAGGTAGAAATCACGCGGTTACATTTTGCTCTTGTGATTAATTTGACAGAAGAGTTGGTTAGGTGTTAGTAAGACAACAAAAATAAATAAATAAATAAAATTTATATATTTGTGATTAGTAAAAAAATATCATATAATAGTGTCATGTAACACCTTCTTAACATATAATAGGTTACGTTTAGTAGAATTTTGTAAATATGGCTGAGAGTATGAGTTGTATTTTGAGTTTATGAGTTGTCAAATTATGATTTGAGTGTAGAAAATTTGTTTGGTTATGATTTTTGAATAGAGTGTTGAATTGATGTGGAATTGAGTTTTAAAAGTTTAATTTGACATGTGAAGTAAGAAAATTTGTTTGGTTATGAGTTTTGGAAAAAGTTTTCAAAACTTAATTAAAATTGTTATAACTCATAACAAAACACGCTAATTTCACACTATTATACACCCTAAAACAATACAAGATGTATGGAGGAGAGATGCCTTCAAAATCGAGTGAAGATCAAGGAATGAAACAACAATGGGGGCGTAAACACCCTAGGAGAGATCGAAGCAAAAGGGAAAAAATGGAATGAAAGGACGCAGTGACAGTATTTACACCACGATAGGTCGCTCGAGCGAAGACTCTCTCGGTCAAGCGAAGTCACTTACGCGCACGAGGTCGCTCAAGCCAAGAACTTGTCGCTTGAGCCAGAAAGACATGCTCCCAGAATCTGTTCTATCTGCAAAAAATACTGGGTCGAGAGAAAGCTCGCTCGAGCGCAAACTCTCTTGCTCAAGCGAAGAAAAAAAAACAAAAATACTTAGGTAGCGTTTGGTAATGTTTACATTTTTTGTTTATGTTTACAAAAATTTTATAAACTGGTTTTTATTTATTTTTAGAAAAACATAAATTATAAACGTGTTTGGTTTGAACAAAATGTTTTAAAAAATTTAAAAACATAGACTAAAAAATATATTTGTTCAGGCCTAAAATATTTATATTTATTTTTATTATTTATAACAATGGAATCACACACATTATAATTGAAAAAAAAAATTAATTGGAAAAAAATTAATTGAAAAAAAAATATTTGAAATAAAAGTTAATTGAAAAAAAATTTAATTGGGGAAAAAATAATTGAAAAAAAAATAAATTGAAAAAAAATATTTGAAAAAAAAATTATTTGAAAAAAAAAATTAATTGAAAAAAAATTATTTGAAAAAAAAATAATTGAAAATAAATTATTTGAAAAAAAATTGAAAACTGAAAACGTAAACTCATTTTTTGAGTTTACGTTTTTTCTTCAAATTTATAAACTGAGACAACTATTTATAAACCAAAAAAATTATCAAACAAATTTTTATGACAGTTTTTAAAATTTTTGTAAATATAAACTGAAAATTGAAAACGGAATGGTTACCAAACAGGCCTTAAACTATAGGGTTTTTTTTCAAACGTTTCACACTTAGCCTCCGGGTTAGCTTTTTGGCTTTTTGATTTTTTTTGACTATTTTAGCTTGGGTTAAAAAGTTTAGTTTGGGAATGACTTTTTGACTTTTTGGACTTTTTTTGTGGAAGAAGAATGTAATGATTATGGGTTGGATGTGATATTTTGTCTTTTGTGGCTAAAATAGCTAAAAAAAACCCCGTTTAGCTCTTGCCAAACGGAGCCTTACTTTTAGGGTACTGTTATGGTGTGCAACCATATGCAACCAACATAAAAGGTGTAAATGGAAGGTATAAACATAAAACAGGACAACAAACAAAAAATCGTAAGTGTAAGGTGTAAGTTGCACACTTAAGAAAAGTCCTTACTTTTATTACAACCTTAAATTGTGTGGAAATTGACTAGAACGTCGATCATGCA